CTGGACTGAGATGCTGACATATGTGAATTCTAGAGCCAACGCGATTCTTGGCTGTGTTCACAAATTTCTGACACAGATCAGCCCCTGCTGCATCCTCTAACCTTGTGATCCGCTATAAAGTTAGGCCCCATTCACACCTTGAAGCCTTAAGCTCCAAAATGCTCAGGGAGGAAAAATCAATTACTCTAGATGGAGATGGTTCACATCTCCACTCCGAGCCGCCTGAAGCTCAAAAAAGTTTTGGAGCTCGATTCGGGTAGATTGATGTGTTTTAAAAGCATTTTCTTCTCCATAGAGATGCATTGAAATGCTCAATTTTTTTTGCCTTCCTCTGGATCAACTGTGGGTGTAGGATTATAACTTTTTTTTTTATGGTTGAACTGGATGGACTTTTGTCTTTTTTCAGTCAGACTAACTATGTAACTATATGTAAATATGGAGCTGCAGATTGCAATCTACAGCATTATTTAGGGAGGAGAAGGTTCCCCTACAGCAAGAACTGTTGGGATTCAAAGAATGGCACTGAAGATTTGTGTTGCCAAAATCATGTTACAAAGGTCACACATCCCACATGTCCCAGCCATTTCCTGATCCCTCATACAAGGGAATATAAACCTGTTCTTGTACCAGATGATGTTCTTATTTACTATTGTGTAACGATATGCTTATTATGTATATTGCCTGTGGGTTCCCAAAGGCAGTAATGGTTACACTTGGATGAACCATGTCCTCATGGATGACACATGGTGGAAGTGTTCCACGCTGGAATGTGGAAGTCAGTGATGAGCGGACAAGATTACATCCTCAGCTTGGAAGATAAGAACACAGAAAATGTGTCATCAATTTGAACCTGTTCACTGTCCTTAAAGGAAAAAAAGGCCATTTAATTCAGCTACATTTTATTGCTAAAACTGAACTTCAGACAGACATAAAAACACACATTAATACAATTGTACTCACGAATACATAATTGAATTTACTATGGAAAGGCAAGAAGTGCATTTAATTTGGTACTGGACATGGACATAGGAGGAGAGAGCAGAGTGATAGAGAGAAAAGCTCATCAATTTGCTGCTCCTTTTCCAATGACAGGCCGGCAGGGGTCAAGTGTTATTGATCTGTAGCAGAGAAAACTCAGGTCTCCGCTCTGCCAGACAAGACTCTACTGTGTGAATCTCAGAAATGGATGGACAAAAATCCCTTGGCAGGTAGCACAGCTCATATACACATATATATATATATATATATATATATATATATATATATATATACAGTGGGGATCGAAAGCTTGGGCACCCCAGCTAAAAATTTGTATTAATGTGCATAAAGAAGCCAAGGAAAGATGGAAAAATCTCCAAAAGGCATCAAATTACAGATTAGACGTTCTTATAATATGTCAACAAAAGTTAGATTTTATTTCCATCATTTACACTTTCAAAATAACAGAAAACAAAAAAATGGCGTCTGCAAAAGTTTGGGCACCCTGCAGAGTTAATATCTTGTACTGCCCCCTTTGGCAAGTATCACAGCTTGTAAACGCTTTTTGTAGCCAGCCAAGAGTCTTTCAATTCTTGTTTGAGGTATCTTTGCCCATTCTTCCTTACAAAAGTCTTCCAGTTCTTTGAGATTTCTGGGCTGTCTGTCATGCACTGCTCTTTTAAGGTCTATCCATAGATTTTCAATTATGTTGAGGTCAGGAGATTGTGAAGGCCATGGCAAAACCTTCAATTTACGCCTCTTGATGTTATCCCCCGTGGATTTCGAGGTGTTTTTAGGATCATTATCCATTTGTAGAAGCCATCCTCTCTTTAACTTCAGCTTTTTCACAGATGGCATCAAGTTACCATCCAAAATTTGCTGAAATTTTATTGAATCCATTTTTCCTTCTACTCGGGAGATGTTCCCTGTGCCACTGGCTGCAACACAACCCCAAAGCATGATTGATCCAACCCCATGCTTAACAGTTGGACAGAGGTTCTTTTCATTAAATTCTGTGCCCCTTCTTCTCCAAACGTACCTTTGCTCATTCCGGCCAAAAAGTTCAATTTTAACCTCATCGGTCCACAGAACTTGTTTCCAAAATGCATCAGGCTTGTCTATATGTTCATTTGCAAAGTTCAAACGATGATTTTTGTGGTGAGGACGTAGAAGAGGTTTTCTTCTGATGACTCTTCCATGAAGACCATATTTGTACAAGTATCTCTTTATAGTGGAATAGTGTACCACAACTCCAGTGTCTGCCAGATCTTTCTGGAGGGATCGTGCAGTCAAACGTGGGTTTTGAATTGTTTTTCTCACAATCCTGCGAGCTGTTCTGTCTGATATTTTTCTTGGTCTTCCAGATCTTGCTTTAACTTCCACTGTTCCAGATGACTGACATTTCTTAATTACATTCCGAACAGAGGATATTGACATCTGAAAACGCTTTGCTATCTTCTTATAGCCTTCTCCAGCTTTGTGAGCGTCAACTATTTTCAGTTTCAGTTTTCTAGACAACTGCTTAGAAGAACCCATGGTGCTGATTGTTGGGGCAAGGTCAGATGAGTCTGGGCATTTAAAACCTTTGAGACTGACATCACCTGGTCTTCCCGGACGATGATTGAGAACAATCCATGACACTGGCAGGTCTCAGCTTTGCAAAGGGGGCAGTGCATGCTATAAATTCTGCAGGGTGCCCAAACTTTTGCAGACGCCATTTTTTTGTTTTCTGTTATTTTGAAAGTGTAAATGATGGAAATAAAATCTAACTTTTGTTGACATATTATAAGAATGTCTAATCAGTAATTTGATGCCTTTTGGAGATTTTTCCATCTTTCCTTGGCTTCTTTATGCACATTAATACAAATTTTTAGCTGGGGTGCCCAAACTTTCAATCCCCACTGTATATATATATATATATATATATATATATATATATATATATATATTGGGCCTGCAATTCTATATCCAGGGGGATGGCTATCTTCGGGTTCTCCAGAGGTATAAAAAACACCCTAAAATACCCCATGGAAAGGCTTTACCCTTTAGTAGCTACTGTTCTTGAGTCCTGTCTTGAGTCCTGATGCCCAACTTGTGGCTCGAGGGCCACATGTGGAACTTTGGTGTTTGCTGTGCGGAGCTCAGACCCAGTAGTAAGCAGTGGAAGTTATTTGTAAGAGGTTTGTAATAGTTGTGATCTCTAGCAGTTTCATGTAACATGTCCCCAGTCTCTGACAGCTTGGCTCCAGTCTCCAAGAACCCCTGTAGCACAGTCTATGACCACCTCCTCTAATAGGTCTTCTGTCTTTGACAGTCTTTTGTAGCAATACATATAATATATATTGTATGTGGTCCTCTGGTGAGATCAGGTACAGCATTTGAGGCCCCATATACCTTGTAAGTTGATATCCACTGGTCTAGAAATGGTCTCCAAACTGCATCCCTTTGCTTGCTTTTATCTGGCCCTTGGGGCCCTTTTCCTCCCACTGATACAAGACACTATTCCTCCCACTGACACGGACAATGGGGTATGATTCATGTTACCGATTCCTGTTACTGACATCAACAATAGTGCACTATTTCTCACATTGACACCAACAAAGGGATACTGTTTTTCCCAATTTCATCAACAATGGGGCACTATTCCTCCCACTAACATCAACAGTGGGACACTATTCCTCCCACTGACATCAACGATGGGGCCTTATTCCAACCACTGATGCCAAAGATGGAGCACTATTTCTTTCACTGACACCAATGAGGGGGCATTATTTTTTCCACCGATACCAACGATGAGGACTATTCTTTTCACTGACACCAACGATGGGGTACTATTCCTTGCACTGACACCACCGATGGGGACCATTCCTTCCACTGACAGCAACAATGGGACACTATTCCTCCCACTGTCACCAATGATGGGGCACCATTCCTCCCATTGATACCAACGATGGCGCACTATTCCCCAGCTAATGCCAAAAATGCATTGTTTACTGCCACGGTTGCCAGGACAATTTCTACTCCCAATGGTCACAGTCTGGTCTCCCTCAAGTCTGCAGGACAGTAAACTGGCCCTTTGTTTAGAAAGCTTGAAGACAACCTGGTCTAGAGGTAAGGAATGTAATTAAAAGTTCCTTTGTTTCGCCAAACTTCATCTTTCTTTCTTCTTAGATCACTAGAGATGTAAACCTCAACAATTTTGTTGTTATGGGAAATATATCACAGCAAGTGTTTTTGTTATTTCTGTTAGATAAGTTAAAAAAAAATACCTCTTGATCATGGCAGACATTTTGTGAGTCTACAACTTCCTGTGCTATCTGACTTTGCTTGGTGTCATCAATGGCAATGGTCCCAGCTATCTTTCCTATGGAGAACAGGAGAGGGGCAGGTATCTGTAGTCCTGTCTTGCATGTGTTGTCATGATGCAGGAGGGTAAGTGAGTCATCCTAGGACTGACAGCGTGTTATTGGCAGAATCACCGGGTGAAAATATAGGCAACATACTGGGGGGGGGGGAATTGAATGCAGCCATCGCAGCCAAAGACTGGTAAGCTTCAATACATTAAATTTTTTCTTTTTTAGGTCTGGCTACATCAAGTAAAAGGTAGAGTGATGTACTTAATGTTACTTTACTGCCGCCCTAAAATGAGACAACTCCTGACTCTAAGGCCATTCCCAGAAGCAACTCGTCATGGCCAAACTGTTAAAACGTAACTCAACTTCGGCACTGGTGTTCCTTCTCTGTTGCAAGGACCACTCATGTGTTTAATTTTGGCGATTCTGTCGCTGGTGAAGTTTAGGATACAAAAAGTGTGTCTGTTTTGCCATCACAGCTCCAAATCTGCAAACCACAAACTGCTGTGCTATTTAAGAGTTTTGACGGCAAACCTTTAAAGATCAGCGCTGCCTAACACTGTCAGTACCCCGCGGTGAAATGCTGGCACGCAAGCTTTAAGCGTCACCTCTTCCAGAGAAAGGATGAAGCCTGTTAGAAATGTATGCGTGTACGTGTCAGGTACTGACCTGCATCCTGAGTAGCGGATTTGTACAGGAACAGGCCTTGTTGATCAGGTATGTGTGCTCCATGTATTCCGTGATTCGCTGCAGGAAGCTCAGTGGCTCGTTAAAAACGATCGGCATGGTGATTTTCGACAGCTCCTGCAAGTCGGGAGGAGAAAAAAAGAAAAAAAAGAAAAAAAAGAAAACAAGGTTAGAGCGGATGACTCTCGGGACTGAGAAATCCATTCCTGCCGCAAGGGTAATGCGGGTAATTTAAACAGAAAAATATTCATGAGAGAAGGCAACACCGACTTATCAACAATGTGATTTAAACCTATCATCTTGTATTTGCTGAATACTAATACCAACCATGGGATTGTGTCTATGGGCACTGAGCTCACGGTGTCATCTATGAGACAGATAATGATGGGAATAAACTACACACTACTCCCATAGGTGTGTGCATATGCTTACAATATGTGAATGCAGGGATCTTTGTTACCCATAGAGGTGGATAAAAGTTTTCCTGCATCGGCTCACACCTGTCAAAATTAGTTATCTGCCCATGGAAATCAAGTCAAAGGGGGCAAGCAATATTTCATAGCCTCTGTAGTAATATATATTGTAGCACAAAGTACAGCTTGCAAAGATTTGCAGACTGATGTAGTCCATCGCATACATATTGTACGTGACTCGGATCAGACTATAAATCTGTGTCCACAAACATTAGATCAAAGTTAGAAAATACTACCGATCATTTGATTGTCTGGTTGTCTGGTGTGTGTTGACATCATCAGAGCAAAGACATAGCATGTGACATAGCAGTTGTGACACAGCCAAAAACCCACTGACACCAAATATGCATATAGTTATGTAAAAGCAGACCACCAGTCTCCCGTGCAAACCCTACTTTGTCTCTCTGTATCATGGTTTACCCCATGGGTGTCAATTTATTGCCCATCAAATGTAAATGGGACAGAGTAGGTCAGAAATCAAATACTATCACTCATCTTACAACAGTCATTACAGAATGTATTCTCTCTTGAAAAGAGGAGATTAAGGGGGGATATGATCTCCATGTATAATACATAAGGGGGGGATATGATCTCCATGTATAATACATAAGGGGGGGATATGATCTCCATGTATAATACATAAGGGGGGATATGATCTCCATGTATAATACATAAGGGGGGGATATGATCTCCATGTATAATACATAAGGGGGATATGATCTCCATGTATAATACATAAGGGGGGGATATGATCTCCATGTATAATACATAAGGGGGGGATATGATCTCCATGTATAATATAAGGGGGGATATGATCTCCATGTATAATACATAAGGGGGGATATGATCTCCATGTATAATACATAAGGGGGGATATGATCTCCATGTATAATACATAAGGGGGGATATGATCTCCATGTATAATACATAAGGGGGGATATGATCTCCATGTATAATACATAAGGGGGGATATGATCACCATGTATAATACATAAGGGGGGGATATGATCTCCATGTATAATACATAAGGGGGGATATGATCACCATGTATAATACATAAGGGGGATAGGATCACCATGTATAATACATAAGGGGGATATGATCTCCATGTATAATACATAAGGGGGGATATGATCACCATGTATAATACATAAGGGGGGGGATATGATCTCCATGTATAATACATAAGGGGGGGATATGATCTCCATGTATAATACATAAGGGGGGGATATGATCTCCATGTATAATACATAAGGGGGGATATGATCTCCATGTATAATACATAAGGGGGGATATGATCTCCATGTATAATACATAAGGGGGGATATGATCTCCATGTATAATACATAAGGGGGGGATATGATCACCATGTATAATACATAAGGGGGATATGATCTCCATGTATAATACATAAGGGGGGATATGATCTCCATGTATAATACATAAGGGGGGGTATGATCTCCATGTATAATACATAAGGGGGGATATGATCACCATGTATAATACATAAGGGGGGATATGATCTCCATGTATAATACATAAGGGGGGATATGATCACCATGGATAATACATAAGAGGGGATATGATCTCCATGTATAATACATAAGGGGGATATGATCTCCATGTATAATACATAAGGGGGGATATGATCTCCATGTATAATACATAAGGGGGATATGATCACCATGTATAATACATAAGGGGGGATATGATCGCCATGTATAATACATAAGGGGGGATATGATCACCATGTATAATACATAAGGGGGGATATGATCTCCATGTATAATACATAAGGGGGGATATGATCTCCATGTATAATACATAAGGGGGGATATGATCTCCATGTATAATACATAAGGGGGGATATGATCTCCATGTATAATTACATCAGTGGTTCATATAGTGAACTCGGTGTAGAAATATTCACCCTGAGGTCATCACAGAGGACAAGGGGGCGCTCTTTACATCTGGAGGAAAAGAAATTTAATCTCCAAACACGGAAAGGTTTCTTCACAGTGAGAGCTGTGAAATTGTGGAATAGACTCCCTCAAGAGTTGGTTCTGGCCAGCTCAGTGGATTGCTTTAAAAAAGTCCTGGATTCTTTCCTGGATACACAGAATATAACTGGATATAACATTTATAGGTGAAGTTGAGGCAGAGCACAAAATACTAGTCTCTTTCAGTCCTTAGAACTGTGCTCTCGGAGGCTGGTCAAGTGATTCAGGTTTCAGCAATGGTCACATGACCAATGGTTCAACACTGGTCTCTCCTGAAGGCTGATGTTCAATCCAAAGCTGGTTAACAATTCTGCTCCAATGCTCAATAATTTGGTAATAGTCACATGACCATCACCAGCAGGGTGAAAGAATTCCTGGTAATCAATTAAATGGTTTTAGCACTCAGTAGCTTTAATTACCAGCATGCGGGGGAGTTTTTGCTTTGGAAAAGTTTTTAGAGAGATTTACTAAAACTGGAGAGAGCAAAATCTGATTCAGCTCTGCAGAGAAACCAATCAACTTCCAGGTTATATTTCCAAAGCCTAACTGAACAAGCTGTCATTAGAAGCGGATTGGCTCCCATGCACAGCTGCACCAGATTCTGAGTGATCCAGTTTTAGTAAATCTCTCCCTGTGGGTGTAGGGTTTGTTGATCATGCTCCAGGGGCAGACTGACAAATCATGGGGCCCCCGGGCAATAGGGGATCATGGGGCCCCTGTGTCCTTGCCCAAACTCAAAAAAGCCTATGAAAAAGGTACCAGGGGCATCTCATGGGCCCCCTACTGACCCCGGGCCCTCGGGCAGTGCCCGAGTTTCCAAATGGTCAGTCCGCCCGTCATGCTCACAATGATGCAATAAAACGGCACCATACCAGCTTAATGTGCCAATGTTTTAGCTACACAATCCTGCTGTTTTCGCATTTTAAAAATGGCTTTATAAATTAGGTATATTAATCAGTCTTGCCCCGGCACCATGGGTCCAGGATTTTGTTTTGGAACAAGCAGCAATCTCATTGTACAAGGAGTATGAGGCGAGAAAGCTTTGCTGGGTATAATTACACAGCATTATTTCATGTACAACAGAGGGAACATAAGAGGGAATGGGCACAGGCAGCCAGGTGCCATTTGTTACGTAACACACAGATTAAAATTCAATACTTAACAGTCTGCTTCTAAAGAGCTTCCAAATACACAAAATCTGCCACCTGTCTCCAAACACACATCCAGGTTATTGGAGGCTATTACAACTGGCATTTCACATATTTTAATTTGTTTTCCTGCCTTCTGGGAAACCAGACGCAGCACACACAGTTTTAAGGAACATCCCAATTCTTCTGTAAAACCAAAATTGTACAGCAGGGTATTATTCTCATTCCCATACACCTGTACAGGATCCCCAAGTGCCTACAATGCCCAGCTGGATATGGTCTTATCTTTGCTTGCTGCCACCTTTGCAGCCAATCAGTACATAATGGAAGACCAGTGATGGGCAAACTTTTAGACTGTAAACGCCTCAAAAATGGTTCCTAGTCTGTCTTTGAAGTGAACCTGGTCAGGTTATGGAACAGCCATTTTCAAACCAGGGTTCCATGGAACCCTAGAGTTCTTGAGAAGGTTACTAAGGGTTCCCTGAGCTGTGACTAACTGACCTCTTACTTGATTGTGTCTGCATAATTCCAGATCCACTACCACTTGATAAAGCCATCAGCATGACACTTATGATCTGTCTGATTCTCTGATCTGGGGTCTGATTCTCACCACCACTGTAAGGAGGGCGTTATTCTCACTGGTCACCAATATAAGGTACGTTCTTCCCTCTGACCCCAATTGTTAAATTAAAGCTAGGGTTCCATGAGAACTGAAATCTATTTCAATGGTTCCTCTGGGGTGAAAAGCTTGTGGAAGCATGCTATGTACGTTCAAGTATTTACATATTCATAACAAGCAGTAAATGAGCTTTAAAGCAAACCCACATTGACCACGGTAGCTGCAGAAACTAAGGAGAAATTCATTCTTAACCACTCTGACCAGAGTTTTTTTCTTACAGCTTAGAAGCCCAGACCAAGTTTATCAGGGCTGCTATGCATCAGTTAAAACCTAAATTTAATCTGCTTAGATTTTACCTGTGGACTGTTAGGAGGGGTTATTCAAATGTCAAACATGTCTTGATGTTGGTTTGAGTTGTAGGCATTCCCTGAGGCTGCTCTAGGTAACACCCACTTGATTTTGATCCATGACTGAAAGAACTGAAATCCAATGAATGAAAAGGACCAGACAGGGACAGTCAGGCTGAGAAGGAAAGATAAGTACAGGAGAGGAACCCTGTATAGCTGTGCAAGACTGAAGGCAAAGCTAGAGCTTAGCTTTAACTTATAAAAAATCCTAGAACTAATTATTTGGATTAAAAGCAGGTCTGAAATGTAGGAACACGCACAGCTGCCATTCCTAGTTCTCTCCTGCAAGGTTAAAGAACGTTCTCACAGACTTATGAAGTCTCATTATGGTCATGAAGGGGTTAGAGGTCACAACAAACGTATAGTCACACTTACCAGTCCAATGCATTTTTTTAATATGCTCCACACGCTGAAATTATTTCTAGAGATCATAGGGGCTGGCAGGGAGGTCCTAGAAGACAATGAAGAAAATATTAGAAGTGCAGACGTTTGTAAATAAAGCACACAAAGACAGAAGGTGATTGTTATCATCAGGGGCGGACTGACCATTGGAGAACTCAGGCACTGCCCGAGGGCCCGGGGTCAGTAGGGGGCCCCATGAGATGTCCCTGGAACCTTTCATAGGCTTTTTGGGTGTGGTTTGAGTGTGGGCGAGGAAACAGGGGCCCCATGATCCTCTATTGCCCGGGGGCCCCATGAGTTGTCAGTCCACCCCTGGTTATCATGTTTAGGCCGCTTAATTGGGTAGAAGATGTGACAGAAGGAGGCTGAGCAGGGCAATCAATTTTTATTTTTTAAGAACCAAACTTAAGCAGATCCTGTTTTATTCCGAGGCAATTCCAAGTCAGCCGGGAAATAGAATAACACCAGCATTGACTATGCTGGCACCCGAGCCTCCCAGGAGACTTCTCTATAAAATTCTAAAGCCAAATCAACTGGCACATCTTGGTCTGCTCTGGAAGCAGACTGAGCAAGGCAGTCATTTTCTACCTTTAAAAGACAAAACTCAAGAATTCCTTCTATCTTCACAACTCAAAGCCAATCACTCAATAGATCATATATTAGGGGAGGGATGAAGATATCTCATAGTGAAGCACCCCAATAAAAAGAGAATATTCATAAAAGTGCTCAATCATAGTGCACAAGAATCATCGCCTATTTGAAAAAATTACAGATTGCCCCCTTAAGAAGAAACATCCATCCAGTGCACAGTAAGTAAAATGGCTGACCTCGTGCTTCCAGCATAATGATGTCATGCAAGCATGCCACTGACGCGTTTCGTCACAAACTGCGTAACTTCAGCTCGGCACAAGTACTACTCAGAGATTGTGTTGCATTTTTTCAATTGATACAAAGCTTTCCCTGACTGGACAAAGTGGAGAGGCAGGATGGTGACATCACACTCTTCCCTTCATCCAATCAAAGAATGCTTTGCATCTATTGAGAAAAATGCAACGCAATCTCTGACGTTTGTTCCTGCAGAACGAGCGAACTCTTGTATTCGCAATGCAGCAGAGCAGCTCTTCAGCACAGGACCCAGAATTTAGTGGTGTGCCTACTATAGGGATTTCCAGCTTCCTATAGGGATTTCCAGCTTCCAGGGGGATTCCACAGGTATGGCATATGCATACTTTAATTGGTTCAAGCTGGACTAATGTAACTGTGTGTACACATCCATACCTGGAATTTTTTCTTTAAATACGTTTTGGAAGATGAATGCTTTCCCATCTGACAGTTCTTTTTGAACAGTCTGTCTAGATTCACCTTTAGCATGGAGGTAAAAGGTGATGCTATTTTATTATTGCGTCTGTTCATATTGTACTGAAGGTCTTCCAAACTGACCTCTTACATCAGCAGCCTTATCTTCACCTATCTGCTGATGTGGCAATGTTCAGGAGAGCACACAGTGTGATTCCCCCTTGGATAACAATCTCCCTCACACTCGGTCCTATCACAGTCAAGATGTATGTAAAGGCATAGCTTTGGATGGAGCGGTGGGCAGTTAGCGCCTCTGTCAGGTATTGTTTTGTGGTGTGTGTGTCCATGGGGACCTCTTGTATTCACGATGCAATGGGGCAGCCACTTGGCATAGGAATCGGAAGCTAGTGGAGATCGCCATTGTAGAGGTGGCTACTATAGTGGTTTTCAGCTTCCAGAAGGACCTCACATATGGTATATGGACCAATGTAACTATATAAAAATATCTATACCTGGAATTCTTCTTTAAGAATTCCTGATTCTGAAGGGCAGTAACCAAAGAAAATTCAGTCTTTTGTAGTCCATCCAGGAGCTGATGAATTCTGACTGTCCACTACATATAACTACCCTTCTGAGTAAGCACTCCTTAGTGAAGAACAGTTGGCTAAGCTGCTATAGTATGGGGTGATGGTCTCTGCAGCCAGTTTTAGAATTCATAATGATCAGCTTGGGCAATAAATAACAAAACTATTAAGTCATATCAGCATAGCTATAAAACATAGGAACTCAAGCTATTTCCCAAAAGAAATCTCTACAACCCCTGAACTCTAAATGTCACTATGGCACCAAGAGACATCACCAGTCATTTCCATTTTAAAGAGGGGCTCCAGACGAATTAAAAAAAATGTTTGAAAAGGTTCAGTTGATTAGCAGACCTCTGTGTATGACCGCTGAAAATTCCATCACTGTACTCCAAAGATACCTGTACTGAAAGCTATAATGGGGAAGCTGCTGAACTTTGGCTGTACTGAAGTCCTTGGGATAAGTACGACCCCCCCCCCCCCCCACACTCACTGGTTAATGAGAACAGATTTCTTTGGCTCCCAAATCAGACATACTCAGCAATAGAATACTGAAAAGGACAAGTGGCCACAATCAGCTCTGTGTTGTTTCATTTTTTTAACAGTCCCAACTATGTATAAGTGTGAGGACACATTGAACAGAAAAGGTTGGTGCTTTTTCATCTTTCACATTATGTAGTTAGAAAGGATGCAAATAGTTCTCAATGGAATGGCACTCCAAAGTTTCTCATGATTAGATTAAAAAAAAAAAAAAAAAAAAAAAAGAAGGGTTGCTCACAGGGGCAGACTGACAACTCATGGGGCCCCAAGGTAATAGGGGATCATGGGGCCCCTGTGTCCTTGCCCAAACTCAAAAAAGCCTATGAAAAAGGTATCGGGGCATCTCATGGGGCCCCCTACTGACCCAGGGCCCTCGGGCAGTGCCCGAGTTTCCAAATGGTCAGTCCGCCCCTGGTTGCTCATGCATCCCTGTATGCAAGTAATCACTTGGATGTGAGGTCACCAGGGTACAGCCGAAGCCTGTCATTGATTTGTACAGGTGGCTGCACACACATACCTGTCACTCCTGGTATTTGGCTCTCTGCACATGTGTGAATGAGTCCTTTGTTGTACCTCTGAGTGTGTGAATTCACCAAAAACTTATACTTGATGTCATTTACAGTTAATACCCCTTGGTATTTACTCTTTGGGTTTAGTAGTAGTTTATCAGCTTTAAACTGAACACAGGTACACTGAAGGGCTCATTCACATGGGCGCAGAGTCCCATAAAGCATGAAGAGCGATTTACTAAGGGTCCTTTCACACGGGCGGTTCATTTTTTTTCTTCAGTTCAGTCACTTTTTATCAAAGAAAAAGGATGAGTTTACATAAGTTTTTTCATCCATTTACATACGGTTTTTGCCCGTTTTTCATCTGTTTAGATCCGTTTTCATCTGTCTACATCCGTTTTTGGTCCGTTTACATCATCTTTTTTGTCCGTTCTGTTTTTTTGGGGGAAGAAAAATAGGGTTTCTTCCGTTCAAAAAAATGGATGTTAACAGATGCAAAAAGATGTTCATCCGTTTACATCCGCAAGTCCATAGAATTACATTGGGGTTCGTTTTTCATCCGTAAACAGACAAATGAAAAATGGACATATTGAACGCCCGTGTGAAAGAGGCCTAAATCTGTCTGTACTAGCACTGAGCTGTGTGCAGGCAGTCTATTTAACTGAATGGATATTCATCGGCTGTATGGATTCACCCGCACAGCCACATTTGACACGTATGCATGGATGGTGCCCCAGACATAAGAGCTCGGCCAGGCTCCTGTTTCCTGTCAAACTGGGTTGTGCGGGTTAGTCTATACCAGGGGTAGGCAACCTGAGAGCCGCAGGACTACAAGTTCCATCATGCCTCTGCAAGTCATAGCTGTAACTGTCAGTTTTGTAATCTTTGCAATGCCTCATGGGAAATGTAGTTCCACAACAGCTAGAGAGCCGCAGGTTGCCTATCCCTGGTCTATACAGTTGATGTATATTCATTCACTTAATGAAACTGACTACATGCAGCTCGGTGCTAGTACAGAAAAAAAAATTGAAAATGGATTTTCACGCTGTATGGGGCTCTGTGCTGATGAGAATGAGTTAAATCACCTCTTAACTGTCTCTCAGGGACTCCACCGGGGAGATCTCTGCAAAGAGTTCTTGGGTTTGCACATCAGCTCTCGGCTCTCACTCTCCCACCTGGATGTTATATTTATTTTATATTATGGAGAATGTAACAGAAGGAAAAGATACGCACAAAAGTGGGAACACACATCCAAAACACCCACGTGGACAGAAACGTGGACAGGATCTGGAATTATAACCTCACTGCTGGATTATCCAAGGCATAAAAGCAGTCAGGTGAAAGCTCAACCCACCACCCCCCATCTATTACATGGACAATGGACAGCAATATTAGGACACTATTCTTCCCAATGTTGGCATGCTATTCCTTCCACTGACACCAATGATGGGACACTATTCCTCCCACTGACACCAATGATGGGACGCTATTCCTTCCACTAACACCAATGATGGGACGCTATTCCTTCCACTAACACCAATGATGGGACGCTATTCCTCCCACTGACATCAATGATGGGACGCTATTCCTCCCACTGACATCAATGATGGGATGCTATTCCTCCCACTGACACCATTGATGGGGCACTATTCCTCCCACTAACACCAATGGTGGGACGCTATTCCTCCCACTGACACCAATGTTGGGACACTATTCCTCCCACTGACATCAGTGTTGAGACCCTATTCCTCCCCTAATACCAGTTATGGGGCATTGTTTGCTCCCACTATCACCAATGTTAGGACAATATCCCTCCCACTAACACCAATGATGGGGCACTATTCCTCCCACTGATACCAATGATGGGGCACTATTCCTCCCACTGATACCGATGATGGGGCACTATTCCTCCTACTGATACCAATGGGGCACTATTCCTCCCACTGATACCAATGATGGGGCACTATTCCTCCCTCTGACACCAATGATGGGGCACTATTCCTCCCACTGACACCAATGATGGGGCACTATTCCCCCCACTGATACCAATGATGGGGCACTATTCCTCCCAATGACACCAATGTTGGGACACTATTCCTTCCACTGACACCAATGTTGGGACACTATTCCTCCCACTGACACCATGTTGGGACACTATTCCCCACTGACACCAATGTTGGGACACTATTCCTCCCACTGACACCAATGTTGGGACACCATACCTCCCCTAATACCAATTATGGGGCATTGATTACTCCCACTGATGCCAGGGTACTTTATCCTCCCATTGGCCTCAGTCCAGCCCCCCCCCCCCCCCAAAGTTTGAAGGATAGTAAAGTAGCCCTTTGTCTAGAAAGTTTAGAGACCCCTGGTTTAGAGTGCAGCCATCCCTTGAACGGCCAAAACAAGGACTGTGGAGAAATACCCTGATATAGTGAAGGCTGCAATACTGGTTCAGAGCTTTTTTGGCTGGTCACACCTGAGCGCAAAAGTGGGATTAATGGACATCAGGTTAGTAAAACATTTTAGATTTGTGATTGTGATTAAACAGTGGCTAAACATCCAACTCATGGAGAATGATGATCCAGAGTGTTGTTTAAAATCTTCATTATGCTATTCTAAATTCTGAAACATTTCATTTCATTGTGGCCTGCAAGCCTTTACCAAATCACTTAAGTGGCCCCCACTCTTCAAAAGGCTGAACACCCCTGATGTAGAAGTTTAGTTTCAGTGAAGATCTGAGTTACACACCAAGCACCAGTATGATCCAGAAAAACTGTAGACAGAAAAACAAGCATTCCATGTCCTACTATCAATGGCCGTGGCACTTCACACTCGTCACACAAATGTCTTATGACATAATAAATCACCTGTACTTCTTCAATCCATTCTCCTGGAGACTTCCCTCCTCATCGGGTGTCATGCTCTGGTTGGTGAGGGTCATGTCTGCGAGCCGCTGGTTGGTGTCGGCAAATTCTGCGGAGGAATTGTCAGAGTCTGTGCCTGTTGAGGAGAGAACAGAAAGTGTGATGTACGGATGTCACTGAACTCTGATCTCCTCGGAGGAAGCAGAAGGACAGCCTATTATTGGTGGTTTATTATTTTTTTTTGTTTCTTTCACAAGCTTCGGGGATATTGTGCAAGCGGCAGTGACACGCGGCTCTGGCACACTTCATCTAAAGTCCAGCCTTTACACGTTGTGAGCACAATTCTACAGGTACAACAAACACATTCCTCCCATGGATGATGATAAGGCTGCCAATGTCACCTCAATGGGCTGGAAAATGTGCAATTTAAAGGCCGATAAAAACATATAATATTGTCAAATGGAAATCGAATATGTTCAAAGCGCTCATACATGACTGGCACACGTCATTCTGTCATTTAACGACACAAAATACATTTACGTTTTTTTTTTTATCTGCAGCCAAACATTCCCTATATGCCAAATGAAATCTATTTTCCATCAGACCATGGTAACGGTGTTAAAGCAGAAGACACCACACTAATTATGTAATAATTGCTTTGCCAAAAAAATTTGCTATTCAGTGTTAAGGCAGAAGAGACACTTTTTTTTTCTATTAGGGCTTATGTACACTGCAGCTGATAAACTCACGTTTAGGATCTGTTCTGCGTTTTTTCAGCAGCCCCTGAACGCTCCCTAATGTTTTCCTATGTGTCCATGCAGGGGTGGACTGACAACTCATAGGGCCCCCAGACAATAGGGGATCATGGGGCCCCTGTGTCCTCGCCCACACTCAAACCACACCCAAAAAAGCCTATGAAAGGTACCAGGGGCATCTCATGGGGCCCCCTACTGACCCAGGGAAGTGATCGAGTGCTCGAATGGTCAGTCCGCCCGTGTCCATTTACACATCGTAGTTTACAGTCGTTTACAGGCAGTTGAGTTTACAGTATTTTTTTGAACGCAAAAAACTTGCGTTCAGATGTCGATTTTATCAGTGTTTCAAACACGACAAATCGCGTTTATAAGCGGTTTACATTTTTTTAACTCTTCCAGTTCCCAATGCTGTCCAGAGCCTTTTTTCATCATGAAAAATGCATGCAAAGCGTTTTCAAGGTGCTCAGATGGACAAAACACTGAACACAGGATGTTCCTACCAAGCTTGTCACACATTGTTATCACCATTTACACCTCAGACCTCTCCCACCCTTGGAAACTAAAGATATTGTCTTAAAATAAAAACACAATAACAAGAGTTTCTGCTGACCACCAGCATAAGGGGGCAAAGTTCCACTGACCACCAGCACAAGGGGGCAAAGTGTCACTGACCACCAGCACAAGGGGGCAAAGTGTCACTGACCACCAGCACAAGGGGGCAAAGTGTCACTGACCACCAGCACAAGGGGGCAAAGTGTCACTGACCACCAGCACAAGGGGGCAAAGTGTCACTGACCACCAGCACAAGGGGGCAAAGTGTCACTGACCACCAGCACAAGGGGGCAAAATGTCACTGACCACCAGCACAAGGGGGCAAAGTGTCACTGACCACCAGCACAAGGGGGCAAAGTGTCACTGACCACCAGCACAAGGGGGCAAAGTGTCACTGACCACCAGCACAAGGGGGCAAAGTGTCACTGACCACCAGCACAAGGGGGCAAAGTGTCACTGACCACCAGCACAAGGGGGCAAAGTGTCACTGACCACCAGCACAAGGGGGCAAAGTGTCACTGACCACCAGCACAAGGGGGCAAAGTGTCACTGACCACCAGCACAAGGGGGCAAAGTGTCACTGACCACCAGCACAAGGGGGCAAAATGTCACTGACCACCAGCACAAGGGGGCAAAGTTCCACTGACCACCAGCACAAGGGGGCAAAGTGTCACTGACCACCAGCACAAGGGGGCAAAGTGTCACTGACCACCAGCACAGGGGGGGGGGGGCAAAGTGTCACTGACCACCAGCACAGGGGGGGGCAAAGTTCTACTGACCACCAGCACAAGGGGGCAAAGTTCTACTGACCACAAGCACAAGCTGTTAATAAAAACTAATGTATTAAAAATCACAGCCAGTCCAATATATATATCCTTGGCAGCGCACTGACTGCAAGTCAGGACTCATGATGTCATTGCCTGGCCTTTTCAAGCATGCACATGGCCCCTATGTGCGCTGTTATCTGATGCTCGGCTGTTGGGGCGACTTGGTTAGCGCGCGGACAGAGGGCTCTGCGTGCCCGCTGCAGGACACGTGCCATAGGTTCGCCACCACTGGCCTAGAGTAACCCCTTTACCCTTCCTGCCCACTTTCCATCCTTCCACTCCCACCCCCTCCTCTCTCACAATCAGAAATGCTTTTTTTTATTACTTTTTTTGAGAACACATCCTGCACTCTTGCCTTGGCAAGAACAACAATATTTACCAGCCTCCTGAGATACTTCTCTCACACATCCCAGGAGGCCTTAATATATGGCTGTCTGCAAGGACCAGGAAGTGACAGCAAGTTCCCAATGAAATCAGAGAACGGCGGCACTGAAGCAAGTGAGCAAAAGCAAAGCAGTATTTTTTTTTTTGTTTGGTTGTTTTTAGGTAGAACCCAACTAAATTGCAAAGGGTGATGGAGATAGGGGGGATAGTGCAATGTCATCTACTTGCCCCTGCCTGCTGAGTAGACAAATCTGGGACACCAGCACATAAAGTCATCCATATGCTTGTCTCTCCATGTTCACTTCATTAGGCTTACAATATTCTGTAATGTCTGAGATGATGGAAAAGTCTGGGGAGGATGGGAAAAGTCTGGGGATGGTGGAAAAGTCTGGGGATGGGGATGGGGAAAAGTCTGGGGATGATGGGAAAAGTCTGGGGATGATGGGAAAAGTCTGGGGATGATGGGAAAAGTGGGGATGGTGGAAAAAGTCTGGGGATGGTGGGAAAAGTCTGGGGATGGGGAAAAGTGGGAAAAAAGTCTGGGGATGGTGGGAAAAGTCTGGGGATGGTGGGAAAAGTCTGGGGATGGTGGGAAAAGTCTGGGGATGGTGGGAAAATGGTGGGAAAAGTCTGGGGATGGTGGGAAAAATCTGGGGATGGTGGGAAAAATCTGGGGATGGTGGAAAAATCTGGGGATGGTCTGGGATGGTGGAAAAGTCTGGGGATGATGGAAAAGTCTGGGGATGATGGAAAAGTCTGGGGATGATGGAAAAGTCGGGGGATGATGAAAAGTCGGGGGATGATGTGGAAAAAAGTCTGGGGATGATGAAAAGTCGGGGGATGATGAAAAGTCTGGGGATGATGAAAAGTCTGGGGATGATGATGGGGATGATGAAAAGTCTGGGGAAAAGTCTGGGATGATGAAAAGATGAAAAGTCTGGGAATGATGAAAAGTCTGGGGATGATGAAAAGTCTGGGGATGAAAAGTCTGGGGATGATGAAAAGTCGGGGATGATGATGAAAAGTCTGGGGATGATGAAAAGTCTGGGGATGATGAAAAGTCTGGGATGAAAAAGTCTGGGGGGATGATGAAAAGTCTGGGGATGATGAAAAGTCGGGGATGATGAAAAGTCTGGGGATGATGAAAATGGAAAGTCTGGGGATGATGAAAATGTCTGGGGATGATGAAAAAAGTCTGGGGATGATGGGGATGATGATGATGAAAAGTCTGGGGGATGAAAAGTCTGGGGATGATGAAAAGTCTGGGGATGATGAAAAGTCTGGGAATGATGAAAAGTCTGGGATGATGAAAAGTCTGGGGATGATGGAAAGTCTGGAATGATGAAAAGTCTGGGATGATGAAAAGACTGGGGATGATGAAAAGTCTGGGGATGATGGAAAAGTCTAGGGATCATGGAAAGAAAACATGAGGTACTTACAATAACAACATCCAGAATACATGTAATCGTTTTAACAAAAATACATAAACGTTTCTTATTGCCCAAAAGTTCATCTTTACGTTTGCAGACAGGAAATGTCAGGCTTTGTATGCCCCCCAGTTTCTTATTAGCAGGAATTATTAAATAGCACAGCGCCTTTGATTTTGTACTTTCCTTTCTAAAAGGATGCTAGTAGATCTTCAGTCGAAGTTATATCTTTTTTTTTTAAATGCTCTCCTAGAATGTTGCAGTTATCTTACATTGGATTGTACTTCAGAACTTTTTCAATAAAAATATTGAACATCAATGGCAGACCACAGTCCAAACCCAGACCAAGTTACAGTCCTATCCACTCCACTGCGAGTGTCTCTCCCTGCTTCCTCCTACCCCTGCCCGGATGGCTTGTAGTCTCCAGAGTCATCTCTTGGGTTACCACCATCCACCCTACCACCACTGTCATTCACAGGTTGAATTTTACTGACCAGACTTCCATGAATTTTAATTCAATACCCCTGCTATAGCCGAGTCTGCTGGGGCTATTGACATCACAACCAAGATGGCGGCGCCCAGCAGCAGTTTCAGGGCTTATGTATGTCTACACAAGGGAGGCTTTTACTGGTAAATACCATGCATAAAATATTAAATGCGCATTTAATGAGTATCTAACTGCTTTACACGCTAATTCTGTTCATGCATTTGAGGCAGTTTGGGACCCATGGGATACATATACCTCTGACTTGTACGCTCACATTGCTTGAGACTGATTGCCATCTCACTTTTCTGTATAGACATTGTATGTACCTCTGACCCTCTCATCGATGAGCCTGTTATTTTTTTTTTTTTAGTTTTCTCTTCAATTGATTTATATTCACCTATAGAACTTGTTTGTTATAAATGCTTGAAAAATCAATAAAAGGATAATTAAAAAGAAAATTAAAAATACGCATTACTGCTGTTGAAATGAATTGTTTAGGAACTGGGTCTTTCTAAAGTCAATGAATTGTTTTGACCTGCAAAGCTAAAGTTCAGTTATGTATCTGTGGAACAAAAAAATAACCATGGCTCCCTGACAGCTGTACCACAGTCTGTTCCCATATGACCTTCTGGAATGCTCGGTGACATGAACACTAGGGGTTACTATCAGGCATTCGGAACTGCATGTTCAAATATGTATGTGAA